ATAGATAGATAGATAGATAGATAGATAGATAGATAGATAGATAGATAGATTGATTTCAAGATTCAAAATTTGTCTTAATTCATTTTTTAATAATATCCTAAAGCCAAGTAGGGTTGGAGCTGCACAAATTTCAGGCAGAAGGGTGCTTCAAAGTACCTGCACCACAGTAGAGAAACAATGCCTTTGAACCTCTTTGCCCCTTGGGGAATAATTAGGAAATTCTCCCAGGAATTTCATATCAAGTAGACAGAGATGGGTTGAGGAAACAACCCTGGGGATACCTTGTTGCCAAGACATGTGAGGCTTTAAAACTAGCACTTTGAATTACACACAGAAACTGATGGGTGCGTGCCTGTGGAGCACAAAGGTGCGATAAATGTAGTGGAGAAAAAAAGAAGGCCAGCGGCCTCCTTAAGCAAAAGCAATATAGCGGCACCATTCCATGTCATTGCAGCTGCCCACTCCCTCTTCCCATGTTGCAGGATCTGCTTTGTGTGCTTATTGATGATGGTGGATTTCTGGTGATCTCCAACCAAGAAGACTACAAGTTCCAGGTGAGCTGTTCTTTTGCTTTAAAAAATTCAGAATACTGGTTTCATTTCACAGTGATATTTATCTGATTACCAAACATATAGTTTTCAGTATTCTAATATAATTGCCTGTTTATTTAGCGCAGTTCATTCACTGCTTATTGTTTTCTCATATTTACATATGAAAATGGATGACTGATGGCATTCTTACAAACAACAACATGATGCAGATATTATTGATGAATGTTCTTTTCTTCTATTTCATATTCAGGTTGGAAAGTTCTTCAGTGAGGTGGATGCCCACTTGATGTCTGCTCTCTACAACAATTCATTCTTCACACAGAAAGAATCATATGACTTCCAATCTGTCTGTGCTCCAGAAGCTCCAAGCAACACAGGAAGTGCACCACGTGGGGTCTATGTGGTGAGTCATGATTCCCAAGCTATCAGATCTTACCTGGTTGAAACATTGTGTTTACATGTATAAATATGCTTCAAATCACTCA